GCCGGTCATTGACCAGCTATACGTTGACAAATTTTGAAATTCTGATTTCCAGAGAAGGTATCGTACTTTCCACTTATAAGATAGGATGAACAGAATTTAATTCTGGACAACTTTAATTAAAAGCTCAAAAATCAAAAATCTTCACAGTATTTAGAAAATTGACTATGAATAATCGTGACCGTTTGTGACCGAACCCATCCCTACGTATCACACATCCCATACAGACATCGATGTCTTATAATTCTTATTGCATCCCTTATATAAGTTCCCTATATTATCTTTTATCTCTTTCGTTCACTATCGCTGACCTAAACGCAGCGTCCGTTTACTGACGCTCTCCCGAAACCGATAATAACACCGGTAATGTCTCTAATTGTCTTAATTAAACGGAAATTCCGATATTTTACGATAAGTTTTGAGTCAAAATTTTGTTAGATGAGTTAGATGATAATTATGAGGTATTATCTATGAAATATTAATGTGAACATATTATTTACGAATTCCGTCACCTATTCAATAACTACTTGCACGTGATAAATTTTTCGTTTCCTAGAATTCGAATGTAAATAAAATTCGAACTGAATTTATTGCTATTCTGGTCACCTAAGTTTTTAAGTTTCAATCGTGGGCACTAGTATATACCTATTTGTGATGTCGTGATTTTATTTTCAATAAACTAATAAGTCTTATAGTACTATATTTTTATTACACACTACAGTATATTTCAAACTTTGATTAAAATGAATTTAAATACAGCTGTGATTGATTATCTCTCTGGCTTTAATAAATCACTCTACAAGTAATATTGTAATCTATACGAGGATATTTGATATCATATTTGCGTAATTATAAGAGTTCTCTATAAAATCTATAAGTAAATTTTATTAAAAAGAAAAAACTTTATCGTAGGATGTCATATCCTCACAAAGCCCACTAATAATATTCTCTTCTCTCGTTTTTTTTTTTACGTAAATCTAACACATTCTTTGCGAAAAAAAATTATCATTTCATAATGATTTATTTTCGTGTATTATTCACCTCATTACTCGTCGCAGAACTCTTTCATATACTGGTGCATCTTAAAGTACTTTTTAGCATTTCATTCCCAGGTGGTTTTTACACAGCTCAACAACCTTGGAATCGTTATGCGTATTTCTGGTTTGATTTGTTAACAGTGTTAATCTCATATTTTACATTGAATTTGATGTTTTTGAATTTGGAAATTTTTATGACACCAATGGTTCAACAAAAGGATAAAATTTTTTATCATAATTTCACGAAATTTGATATTATGAAAGAAGAATTTGAATTATTCAGTTATGTACAACCAGCCAATTGTAAAGAATGGAATTGCATGATTAGATTGAACGAAATTGAGACAACTCTTTTTTATTTAATCACAACTGTTTCATTTATTGGTCATGTTACATTGCATGTATTATATATTTGTGGACGGTTTGCCGGGTACAATGAATTTTTGAAAACTTTGCAAAATTATCGTGAAACAATGCCGATGCAGGAGATTGAAGATATGTACACTCAAGAAACGTCTTTGTCTATAGGTCATATTACACGAAGTAATACTTCTATAACTCATGAAATGTTTAATATGACAAGTTATGATGCGTCAAATCCATCATTAAATTATGAGGAATTAACTACAAATAGTGATAAAAAATTCCAGAACGACATTTATTTTAAAGATAATATAGAAAATTTTACTCATGTCACACCTTCAGTTAATGAAGATGCTACAGCTAGTCAGTTGTTAGAATTATTAAGGGAAAAAACTCATTCTACAATTGATGATGATGATGATTTATTTTCCACCCAACTTACTACTGGTAACCAATATCAAAAAGAATATACGACAAATACCAGCAGTCAAGACTCAAATGCTGCTATTTCCGAAGATGATTTACCTCAGAGTTCAAAAGAATATTTGGGAGGGCATTACGTTGAAAAAGTATTGATTTGGTCTGCAGCTCAGAGATGGGAGGCGAAGCAGCGTGCACATTGGCATTGGATTCATACTATTGGAACAGGATTTGATATTTTGGTTCATATGGTATTTGTTATGTGGCATGTAAAGGTTTTAAATAATTTGTGAATTACTTGAATGTATTGACAAACTTGTATTTCTTGGTCATGCAAGTTTAAATATGTTTGTTGTTCAAATAAGTAATGTCACGGATATTTAATTAATAACAATGCTTATGAATAGTGAATTATCCTCAAAAAAAAACAAGTTTTTATAAATTATAAATGAAATATGTCAATACTAATAATGATATGCCTTTTCTTATGAATTATATTACTCTAGAGCACTGTGTGCTTTACTGTGTGAAATTATTAGGAATTTATCTTATTGGTATTATACATTAATATAGGCTTTTGCTTTTAACTATTGCATTTAAAAGTACGGTTAACCTCTATAATCACTTCTTAAGGTTATAAAGATACGTTCACAATATTTTAGTACATAAATTTATAAGCTCAAAATCTTTTTATAAACCAGTTTGAGATATAGTAAAAAAATCATATTCCCGCAAAACTTCGAACAAACTATCTCTTACTCAAACTTAAACACTAACCTTAATTTTTTGCTTATTCTTTCTATATCTTAAAATCTGGTCTACTAACGTACCAGTATTTTTATTAGTGCTCATAATATATTTTGTTAATCAGATCAATAGTTGGTGCATCAGATTAATTTACATAATAACGATAAAAAAAAAAACAACAAACATACTACAGCGCTTGAATTATTTAAAATTCGGTTGCTTTCTTTATAATAAAGTATGTTTTGTCTCGAACTAAAAGTTATGGAGATTCATTTATTTTACAGCAAGCTTTAATAAAACACTAAAAATCTGGCATAAATAAGAAAAAGACGATAATCAAGAAAAAAAAATTAGGAATTAGGAATTGGAATCGTTTAAAATTTTCTGTGTTTAAATGTGTTAACAGTTTAATTCAGTCAGCATCAAAAATAATTCTGGTACATAATTCTTCACGGTGTCACGGGTAGAAATTAAATTCTCCGAATTTAAGATAAAACTACGCCATAAAGCCCGTGATTAAGAAATTTAACGCCACAAATGTCGAGGCTGTTAAAATACATAAGGTTTGTAGGTCGAATCATAATAAACAAACGCAATAGCCAAACATCCGAAGAATGAATACGCGTAAAAGACTTGAGTTAAAAGATGAAGAAATGTTATAATGACCTGTGGATATAGTTTCTTGTAGGGAAATAACAAAACGCAAAAGCTTTCTCCCTTACGCTAAGGCAATATAACTAGTGATACGGGTCGATGAAAAAATCGTGGGCCGGGGTCGATCCTAAAAAAGCTCGGGCCGGCCGACCGGGCCGACCTTTTTGCTAGTGTAATTTTTTTCGAATCAAAATCAGTCAACATATCTATATTAAACGTGCAAAAGGCCATCAGATAGTTTCTTGTCGAATTCTTGTGATATTAAACGATTTACAGCTGTTTCATAAATTCTGGGACACCTGATAAAAATTTGCCGAATGATTTTTCGGCCGAATCGATTAAGTTATTGGTTTCGGTAATGATCAGTGTATATATTTACATGTAAAATAATTTTATCATTATGTGTCGCACTAAAATCAGGAACGTAGACAATGATATTTATAATTATATATGCTAATTCTTACATTATATCATAAAGCT